GTATTATCGTTTGTCTGTTTGACCACATCGCGAGATAAACAATAACAGTTTATTATTATCATAACTGAGTTACAGAAACGGGCAATAAATTATGTATACTAAGAACTAACTATTAAGTTTCCTACTGATTCTTTTAGGGTGTAGATTTGTGACCAACCAATTCACACACACCTTTGACTCCTAACAGTCGACTGGCTACAACCCTTCACTGAACTCTGATTATGAATCCTGCTAAATTTATCGAAACGTCAGTCACTCTGACTACCGGCAACAATCTTCTCGGGACTACTGTTACCCGGACGATTAGACTACACGACAACTTTTAAAAAAACTGATTCTTTCAAACGAAAACTGGAAAGCGCTTATGTTTTCCTGTGAAGAGTTCTTCAATTTCAAATACGTTAATATACTAATAATGACTGCTACACCTCTGGGAGGCGTTTATCAGCTCATGACCTCATCAAAATCAAATAATCAGTCATCATCATTCACTTTTTCGTCGGAGACAAATTTGATAGAAAACGATTTTGAACATAACCTAACTAAGGGCAATGTTAAGTAACGAACATAACACCTGACATAACTTCGAATAAATCTTATCTGGTTTGATTCATTAGGAAGTGTAAGATCTGGAAGGATATCTACTTCATCTTTCATTGAAAACTAAAGACATTTAAAAGGTTGATTGATTTTTTCTAATTTCTTGTGGCTATTTTTTGTAATATTTCAGAACGTTGCTTTTTTATTACCTGATCTTTCTTTTGCTCACGCATGGCTACTTGCGGTGTGGAGGGAAAGTTCCTGGGGGAAGAACCCTGTAACAGAGATACTCAATTTCTAAGAAAAAATATTGTATCTGACATTTACGTCTATCAGTTCTGTAGCCTTGTCACTAGAAAACGGTTGTCAACTTAGTGCAATTGGCTCTCTAAGGATAGACGCTACGCCCTATGCCTTGACTAAGCTAGAGCCCCTTAAAGCCGAGGAGAATTAAGAGCAAATACGATGGAATGATTGCCGGTCATTTTCAAAGAAAAGCCCTTAACGGCCATTCACTCTGGCGATTTTTGCAGCGGCTCTGAGTACAATTCCTGGTGTGATTTTTTCCGTGATTTCACGAGGACGAAGTGTGGTAGCTTCCTCCATTTATTTTCACTGATAATCTGCAAAACTCAAGCTGCAGCAACCTCTCTGACTTGATATCTCACAAAAAGAGTTGGTCAGCTCTGCCGGTAGCAATTTAAGTCTTACTTAACCTCACCAGTACAAAATAGATGCAACGATAGAAGAAAAAGATAATGTGGAAAAAAAGAACAGTAAAGGACTTAATTGAGAGAGCTAACTTAATCTTCTGCGATGCTTCCTAATGACGCACTTTGCCAGCGCGAGGAGTGTAAAACCGTCACACACATTGAGGTACTTTTGAGCGGGTGAATCCTGAGAGTTACTCAGCGTAAGGAAAACAACTTTAAAAATTAAGTTCCAAAACAGCTTCTAATCCACATTAACTTCCGCTAGTTCAAGTTTTTCAATTTTCATAAGACATACCTGATCTGGAAAGGTCGCAATGACATGCAGCGTGCATAATATCTCCCTTTTAAAATGGTATTGCTCTACTGTGTACAACTCTACTTGCAGGTTACTGAGGTCGCTAATGGATACACGCAAACTTCGTTCAAAAGGTTCATCTCCAAGAAACCTGACACAACAAAATTAAACGAAGATATAATAATAAGTATTTCTTTTTGTGTGGGCAAGACACAGTCATGTTTTTCCTTTCGCTTGTGCTCCAAGATGGCGGACACAATGGAGATAGGATGAGCAAAAATCAATAGACTTACTTCAAAAAGTTGTCTAGAGTTTCTTTTTGCATCACAGTAAAATCTTCGGAAAGAGACACAGACATCCAGTCTTCTTTACACAGTGGCTTAAGCGAGTTTCCTCCGCCTTGAGCACAAACGCGATGAG